TATAACTCCATTAAGCCTTTCCTAGTAATTTTACAATCAAAGTGAAAAAAAAAAAACAATGCTGTGCCAATCAGTCACATGTCCAATGTCATTCGGAATGGCTACACGATGAAAGCTTCTCCTTGGTAGTTTCAATTAAATGCTTGCTATCTTTTGAATGCCTTTCTTGTGTCTAACTCCCCTTCCACTGCATACCGGTGGAGAGGAAGTATTTTTTGCCATGTGATGAGCCACACATTTAGAATGTACCAAATAACTGGGAAAGATGCTCACTGCCAGTAAAGCCTACTGGTTTATGCTATAAATGTACTGTTTAAAAAAAAATATTTTTACTAAAAGCCCTTAACGTTTGCCAGTTTCCCCTAAAACGAGCAAAGCTACCTCAGTATTTCCACTAACCCCTGTACATCTTTAAAATCACAACACAGATGCCAAGACTAACTGTAAACAACAGGTTGGCAACTGAGGCATTTGGACTCTTGTTCAGCAAAGCACTTAAGCGTGTGCTTAAACTGAAATCCACTCTTATTCCCCAAATCCATTTTCAGTGTTTGCTTAGAGCAAAACACAGGCTTAAGTCGAGTTTTGCTTGGCGCGGTGCTTAAGCACAGCACAGAGCTAGGGCCTTGGAAATAATTTCTTTTCGAAAGGAAGTCTTTATTTTTAGCTTACCTCTCAATGGCTACAGCCATATCTTTCAGTCCCCAGATATCTGTTTTCAGGAGGAATATGTGCTAAGCCTAAACTTCTGGTTTCTGTGACAATCAGTGACACGGGAAAGATAAGGAATACCCTTAGCAGCGTAAGGAAAGAGACCACTTGAAATACTTGACTGCTAAGCACAGATGAGAGGGGCCTTCAGTGAGGCTCATTAGAGGGAAGACCTAAAAGAAGTTGTGATTATTCTGGGAGGTGGCTGCTGATAAGAGGACGGGTGATCTTTTCACCCTGCTGACTGGAGAAGGTTCGCTTGGAATAGGTCAACTCAATGTTAACTCAAAATGTTTTGATGAGTTTTCTCTCAAATATTATATTTCCACAGGAAATTTATTATTTCAGAGGAAATGCTTATACTTTTCTCAAAAGTGTCAAAAAAAGGTTTGGCTGCAATGTGATAGTTTCTGTGTTTTTTTTCCTGAAACTCTTCTTTAATACACAATAAAGTCCAAAAATTATTAAAGGAAATTTGATTTAGAAGAGTTTTATTGCTAATTTCTCATAAGTCTAGATTTCCTTTCTCTCATTAAGAAGATTCCTACCATTTGTTTCGCTTGCTTAGGCATAGGAGTTACTTATCCCGGTATAAATGACTACCAACATGTAGTTCTGGCCAGCCCAATCCGTGGGTTTTGCCCAGACAGATCTGGCCTATGGCATGTCTGGAGGATGAACAATTGCATTTTCTAAGACTGTTTTTGAGGGATGCCCCACTGCATTCCTTTTAGCATCCCTACTTCATCCAGAAGGTAGAAATACAAAGATAAGTCAAAAGATATTTTTTTTTTTTCTTTTTGGGTTAGAACTCTGCTTGTGGAGAGGAGATACTGCCCTTGTGGTGGTAGTAGGAAATTACCTAGTAATTTCCTAAAGTAAGTAGCACTGCCAGCACTGACTGGACAAGCACTCAAGGAAGAGTAATTTAGATACTGTTAATCCAGTCCTGAGTAGGGTATCATCATGACCTTTTAATACCCGTTCAACCCTGTCCCACTGGGAAAGTACTGTCTTTCTCTCCCCCAAAAGCTTCTGAATTATTTCCAGGTAGAAGACCCCATTTAGCTCTATCCCTTGACCACTACATTGCTTTACTAATCCACTTCCCTTGTTTTTTTCTACCTAGGAAAGTATGGCAAGCACATGAAGCTGTCATCCACTACAGGGCAGTCACACAGCAATGAGATCTCGGAGTCAAGCCCACTTTTCTTCACCTGCTTGTTTGGTATCTCTCTGGCTGTCAAGAACAGGTACTTCTTTCCTGCTAAAACCCTACACTTCAATAAAAGTATGTCCCGCCTTTCAGGACAAATATTTTCATGAGTGATCCTAGCCTGCTAGGGAGTTGCTAAATCCGGTAGCCCGACAGAGGCGAGGCCATTGCAGGTCCACAGCGCTGGACCCAGCCTGCAGCAGGCTGAGCATGGATTCCCAGCAGGCTCATGCACGAACACACATGTACAATGTGTGTGTGCACTGAGGGTCCCACTGGCCAACACAGACAGAGACAGAAACACTCAGCTCTCACATGAGCAGCACCAATGGCTCCTCTCTCTGGCAGGTCAAGGTGAAAGTGTGTAAGTGTGAAATATATGAAAAATCCACACTCACAATGCGGATCCCTCCAGTAGCTGGTCCTGAATCGTCACTCTCCCCAGCTGCCTCCTGCCCAGTGCACACACACACACACACACACATACAAGTGGGTCTTAGTCAACCCCCAGACTCCACAGGCTCTCTGGCGGCTGGCCTGAACCCCCTGGTCCCTCCAGCAGCCATCTCCTCCATGTGCCTCACCCTGGGAGACACACGCTTCACCTACTCACCAGCTAGCCTGGCTGGGTTTTCACTGGCAATCACACATGGACATAACACACTCACACAGTGTGCACACCCATACTCCCTGCAGCTCTTGGCACCACAGACCCATGGGCCCTCTGACCCATGGTCCCACTCCAGCTGCTGCACTCACACCCCCACACTCACTCGTGCCCACACAAGAGAGACCATCACACAGAAAAAGATTTGAAAATGGAGAGTAAGAAGACAGGACAGACTGCACTGATCAGGCACAGGGCGTACATAGCCAGACAAGCATACAAGTCAGCAGCCTGTTTACATGCAACTAACCTCCTTTATGCTTTTATCCCTCTTTTTTCCACATTTGTTCCTCCCCAACCCACTTTAATGCCTCCTTTTCCCCACTTTTGGTTCCTTCCCTAAACATCCCATAAGAAGTCTTGTGCAAATGCAAGCTGCTCCTCCCCTGCATCCATAGTGTCCCACACCCACAGGCAGTGTTCCCCCTACAGCCCAAAAAGCGGGAGCTGCTCCCCTTGCCGCTGATGGGAGTCACCCCTGGACATGGCCAGCCCCAGGAGGCATTGGGCCGGGCGTTGCTCAGGGTCCTCGCCCAGTTTTGCTCCTCTGCTCCTCTGTTCATGGGGCGGAACATGGTTTTTATCACATATTCTAACATAGTCCATAGGCTGTTCTTGCAGGATGTGGAAGGAGGCAGAACATAGTTCTCACCAGACACAAGATCACACTGAGTCTGAAAAACTCAGCAATATGCAGAAACTGCACCACAATTGTGCTTGTGTTTAGGACAGACCAGAAGCCATGTGCAGTGGTGTATTATTAAATATTCACAGCTTTAGTTGGCTTCAGGTGCCTTTTATTCATTCTAACCAAATTGATGCTCACCTTCAGGCTCTACTTTCTTTAGGGACCTTTTTAGTTTAAAGTCAAGTTTGCCATTACAGAATTTTGCTTTTTTGAGTTACCTCTCTTGGGAAAAAAAAACAACAAAAACAAAACCATGCCTACACACAAAAAACCTCAAATCCAAACTTAATTAAACAGAAAAATAAAAAGAAATACACATCGGGAAAAAAATTTATCTTTGCAAAAGGACAAGATAATGTGGACATTTCCTGATTTTAAAATTAAAATATACACTTGGGTAATGACTACACATGAAAACGAAGGGAATAGTTTTCAGTTATGGAAGAGATTCGAAACAGCAGTTAAGAGTGCAATTTTTGCAGAGTTAACCATTATGAGCTAAACTAAAAGTTGGACGAATCATTTTCCAGCCATATAATTCACTAAAGTTTGTTAAATTGTTGTACGCATAACTGAGGTAAGCCAACCATTTAATGAATTATACCCTATGGATATTATTCCCATAGTTTTTACTGTTGTTCAAAGTCCATTTGTTTTTTTGCAAATACTTCTAAAATGATGAGTAGTCTTTACTTAAAAGACTAAAAATACATTCCAGCTATTATTGTATATGAAATCTGACAGCAGTTAAAGTGTTGGTATCTGAACTTATTTGACAGTTTCTTTGAACAACTTTTACTCGTATTCTTTATGGGATTGAATATTTTTAGAGTTGTACAATTTGTTCTATAAGTGAGTCATGTTAAAGGGAAAGTAAGTGTTCTAGATATTAGACAACCCGTCGAGCTAATAGCGATAGCTTTTCTTGCAATTGCTTTTCATTAGAAGCCAAACGTCATGATCAAACTTTCATTGCATATGCATGCAAGGACCGATTCTGAATCCTGTGAGCAAATAAAGCTCAGTAGAAATTTTAGGTGCTCCATTAGAACAAGACCTCAGTGTTTCCCATGCTTGCAATTTTTCCATTACAAATGCATTTTATTTGCAAAAAGTCGGCACCAATTGTAGGCTGAGCAGGTCAGATCTTCACTTACCTGCACAGGCAGTGATACATAAGTGATGCAAGTTTGTCATGGCTGCAGATCTGATATGGAGGTCTCTGCTCAGCACTGCCCTGTATTTTGTGCACACCAGCACTGAGAAGCTGTATGGAGTCACCACGAGGCACCACTTTGGCCTTAGTTCGAAGAGACCTGCAGGAAGCAGTGGCCTGGCCCAATGGAACTGCTTTTCCACTTGTCCGAGCACAACCTCCATGCAGGATTTCCAAACGTAGCAGCCTTTTGTCCTGAATGTCTGGTTGGTGAGTTTAGTGTATCAGATTTGCACAGTCTGTGAATAATTGGCCCACAAATTGTGAATGCAGCAGGAGAGCTTGATTTTTAAATGCTAGGAGGTAGGCAATCAGGTGAGGAGCACGGATACAACTATACTGGTATGGCGTACCACAACGCAGAGTACGTACAGCGTTGAAAAGTGGAACTAAGAACTGTTAAGGCAGAGAACCTATCTGAAGATGTAGAATAGGAAAGCAGCTCAGTGGTCCACCCATCCAGGAGCAGCTGGCACTAAGATAAGTTAGTGCTGAGCAGCTTTCATTCCCGGCATTTATAGTGGACCCGGAATGGTGCCATGGGTTGCTGCGTCCCCACCAAATGTAAAGGGCTCTGCAAAAAGAAGAAAATCAGTAGAAACATTTAAGTTAGTTCAGTTAGTGGAATTGTCATTGTGCTTTAATATTAAGATATAAACATATTCTTAGAGCTTCCATCTCCGAGAACCAAAACCAAATACTGAGAGTATTTCTTGGCTTTGCTGAAGCCACTGAGTAGGGCCTTCACAATTACTTTTTATTCCATTCTCTCTGACAGAGGATGACTTACGAGATCTTAAGAAACTCTACGGGTTTTGAATATCTTCACCAGCATAATTGCCTGTGGGTGCAGGCCCAAATTACAATCAACTCCAGTGAGAGCTGGCATGGCAACATACCATCAGTCAGGAAGAGGTAACCTTTCTCCATATTCTGGATGAACTTTCTACCACTCCTTGAGATCAACATGTCATATTCTTCAAGGAGAGCAGAAGAATTAAGTTCTCCAGGCTTCCAACTTCCAGCTTAAAGGGCAAACCTACAAAGCTCAAGCCACTCTAAACTTCTCCCTCTTCTCCTTGGCAGTTTAGTTATAGGGCATGTGTGTCATGTTTAGGTGTGACAGGCAGACATGATGATTTCGCAGCAGTCCATGTTTGTGAGGAACAATGATTTTTCGAAAGTGGAAAGGACACAGTACAAATG